ATCACATTCTAAAATAATTTCCTATGAAAAAAAGTTTAAGAGTATCAAGTATGAAGCTAAGGAAAATTATACTTACATTAAAATAATGAAAATCATAAAAAGTACTTAATATTTAACAATATTAAATATTAAATTAATGAAAATTCTAAGCCTTGAGTAACTAAGTTCAGTAGACTTATCTTTAAACTAGAGACCCAGTGCACAAAATCGTGTGCTTAGGGTCCGTAGGCCTAGCCTGTGATCAGAGCCATCTTTTGCCCCTTCACCAGTCCCCAGGCCCAACACCGCCTCCACCACCGGGGCGGGTAGGTCGCAGGCACGCCCCCGCAGCTTCCATCAGCACTGCAAGCCCCAGCAGCAGCAGCAGCAGCAGCAGCAGCAGCAGCGGCGCCTGCATGAGCAACCCTGAGCGGGCAGCGCACTCCATCAGTGGCCGGCCCGGTGCACACGCATGGAGGTTAAGTCACCGGCACCCGCTTTCCCGCTGGACTGAGCCCCTGAGCAGCCTGGGATGAGCTGGGAATCACAACGGCCTGACAGCCAGCCCGGTCCTCCCGCCACCGACCCAGGTTCCCCTGTTCACCATCACTAATCCATTGGAGCCTGTGAGCCCCGGGGGGAGGGACCAAGAGGTCAGCCATTCCGCCTTCTCGCCAGTCCCCAGTCCTGCCCCGCCACCACCCACCAGCTTCCCCGTGGTTCCCCATTCGCCTGCGGCGGGGTTTGGGGGGGGGGGGGACCAAGAGGTGGTCAATGCACCTCATGGCGACTGGTCGAGTGGTTGTTCCAGTCGTTACTCTTATGGTCCCTGGACTTTTATTATATAGGATTAAGGCTCCCAGAGAGTACAGCATCTCAATCAATTTAACTGTTTCTTTCTAGGACACCTTTGAGAATTAACAAGATTAGAAGGAACAACAGAAATCACCTAATCCAGTCTTGTAATCTTAAAATGAAATAAACTGGAACCCAGTGGAGAGCTTATCTAAAGTGATATATACTAATCTGTCATTAGGATAAAAACCCAAGTTCTCCTGACTTCTATTATACTGCTGTATGTCATCAATCCCATTATAAATCCTACCAAGTAAATAAATCCATAATGACCAGAAAGATCTCATCAGCCTACCTTTCACTTGTTGTCTTCCCCCTTCATAACCTCATAATAATAGTAACATTTATATTCCTTCACTCAACAAAGACTGAACACCTACTGTGTGCCAGGCATTGTTCTATGCACAGCAGTTTTTATATAGGCCAGTGTAGAGTACAAAGATACATTAGTCCTGCACTAAGCTTACAATAAGTATCACAGTAGAGGTTTGAGGTACTAAATATACATATATATATATTATACACACACACACACACACACACACACACACACACAAAATGTTATGAAGGAAAATTGTGGGAGGAGTGACAGCAAAACACAAAGACCCAAAAGTGTATAGGTTTTGTTTGAAGAACAGTATCCATTTAGCTGTACTGTAAACCATATTAGCTAATCAACTTAGAGAGGTAGAGGCCATAGTGGTGAAGGGTTTCATATTCTAGACTGAAATATCTGAAAGTAATTTATAATCCTATGGATACAATGACCACTGAAGATTTCTAAAGAAAATAACACTGGGAATACATTTAAGGTTAACTTATAACAGTGGTTCTCAACCTTCCTAATGCCGAGACCCTTTAATACAGTTCCTCATGTTGTGGTGACCCCCAACCATAAAATTATTTTTGTTGCTACTTCATAACTGTAATTTTGCTAGTTATGAATTGTAATGTAAATACCTGATATGCAGGATGTATTTTCATTGTTACAAATTGAACATAATTAAAGCATAGTGATTAATCACAAAAACAATATATAATTATATATGTGTTTTCCGATGTTCTTAGGCGACCCCTGTGAAAGGGTCGTTCGACCCCCAAAGGGGTCGCGACCCACAGGTTGAGAACCGCTGACTTAGAAGAAAACAACACAAGAAGCAGGAAATCATTTGGGAAGTTAATCCAAACCTGATGAGAGATATTGAGAACCTGTACTAAGGTTAAAGTGAGTATGGAAAGATTATAACATTACAGAAGTAAAAATGGTATGCCATGAGAGCCAACTACAAGTAGGAGGGGAAAGAGACAATTTGGTGCCTTTGATGGGAAAGAACCTGTGCTAAGTGTTAACAGAAAATAGGCAAACAAAGCTAAAGATTGAGCTAAATGTAACCTGTTTGGAGATTAGTACAAACCAAGGGGGCCAATGTATTAATCTTATTTCATTTCAATAAAGCAAATCTTCCCTTAGCAAACACAACAGACTAGGATATGCAAAGTATAGTATGTAAAAATACCCAAGTTAAAAGAGTGTTAAGTTGAAAATTGAAAATTAGTACATTTGTATAGACATAGATACTAGAACAAATCATATTTTTATTAAAATATACATATTAAGCCTCAGCAAGGTAATGCTAGGAATATACTGTATGCTAAAGTAATGTTTAACAATCTCAGAAAAATATGCAATAAATCAGTAGCAAAATGAAGCTACTAAGTATCAGCAGAAGAGAACAACTGATCCATCATACATATCACAATCATTTAGTTCAGTCTGGAATTATCAATTTCTCCTGATTAAATAAAATCCACGTGCCTAATTTGGGAGCTCATCTGCACCAATGCTTCATGAAACGAGACACAAAAGTTTAACTGAACTGGTTGGTTAAATAAAAAAGGAGCAACCTACCAACTTAGCTTCTGGAATGTGAAACTTTTTATTCCAAGTTTCAAAGGCAGGGCTAAAGGGGACCAAAGTTTTGCCACCCCAAAATATGCCTTTTAGGTATTGATTTTGGGCTGGTTGTTAGGAAACAGAAGAATCAGAAAGAACCTTTGACCCTCCCTCTACCTGCCTAAAGGAATTCAATAGAAAACCCTGCTTAAAGGAAGGGTCACCTTAGCATCATAATATAAACTAAATGTGGCATACAGAGAGATGCCTAGTAAAGCCTGTTTATTGCACTTCCCTCTGGGTACCACTGTTTTTGAGTGGCTCAGAAAGAATTTTACATGTTCACTCTCCCATCTACCTGTAAACTGCCTATTTTCCCTTTGAAATCCCATCCCCCCCTCCCCACTCTATTCTCCTTTGTCTAAAATGGCATATAAACCTCAACTGCATTTTCTTATGGCACCCCCTCATGTACTCCTGGAATTTTGGACATTTTCTATTTTAAAAAACAAATGAGGAAACAAAAAACACCCATGTAGTCTTTCTGCCCACCATTTAACAAGTAAACTATGAACTCCTTTGGGGCAGGGCTGTGTTCTAGACACCTCGTGGCCCCAGTGCTCAGATTTCAGGAGCCCCCCTCAACAGATCTCTGATAAAAGGAATAAATGGAAATAAATCAACCAAGGAATGTTTTTCAAGTATACAGCACTTTCATAACTTGGTGAGTATTACACAACAGCATAGAGCTATGATCCAGTATTTGAGTGGCTACTATTCAACAGGTAATGAAGTTACAAAATGAGTAACACATGACTCCTCCCTGGAACTTAGAATTTATTTCTCTAAACAAGTCTAACACCAAAAGGTTTCACCAGAAAACCTTGATTTGCCTTATTTGTATGAACATAAATGAGTCTCTTAACTTCTTTAAGATTCTGGTTTCTCATCTGAAAAACAGATGAGGATTCAAAAGAAGAAATGTAAGTGTGTCCTGTAAAGTATCACAAGTATAATGTATGCAAGTTGGCTCCCCACAGGACTCACCAAACTCTGATCAGACACTGCATTAAAAATGACACTGATATAGCCAAGTATTCTACTGGCTAAACACAAAGCCATTATCCTACCATAACATGAAAAAATCCTCAAAACAACAGTATTCTAAGTCAGAAACAGGGTCTTAATATGAGGACAATATAATCTTGAGAAAGTTGATTTATAAACTTTCACAAGACATTTTTAAAAATTAAAAGTACATTTTTAAATTTATTATTAGAGAGAGAGAAAGGGAAACATCAACTTGTTGCCTCAATGGTTGCTTCTTGTATGTGCCCTGACCAGGGATAAAACCTGCATCTTTGGCGGATCGGAACAATGCTCTAACCGAGCTCCCCAGCCAGGGCTTAAAAGTACATGTTTTAATTTATCTGAGTTTTGTTGGAAAATTCCTACTGTCATTCAAGACAGAATACTATTATATTAAAATTCGAACTTTAAAAATAATATTGCTGAATAAAATAATGTAACTACTTTTGGGAAATAATGTCTCCTCCACATCTCAAATGAGAACACAATCCTAAAGTTTCAAAACTTCACACTTTTGAAATACACTAATAAACAAATTTGGAGGAAAAAACTAATACTATACTATTACTTCAACTGATCAAATCCAGCTTTTAACTGCACAATAAGCTCCCTAGAAGACATGTGATATGTCCATAGCACTGTTATTTTTATCCACCTAAATTAATCCTTATAAGACAATAAAATGAATCATTTGAGCCAACATTTCTTCACTGAATACGCTAATCAACACCACACTCTCAAAGTAGGCAAGTTAAAACAAAACAAAACACAACTAGAAAGCTTCCCTCTAAAATATAAGATACTGTCAAGATGCTTTCTGAGCTGAATGTTGATGGCACCTATTTCACCTTAAATTACCTAAAAATGATGTACAACATGAAAATGCATCACCATTTACTTGTATGTGGAATTCACACAACAAGGAAACCTTTATCACATAAACCTTGGATTTCTCTTTTGATGGTGTTTGATATATCATCTACTGCTCCTTTCGTTTAATTCATGGAAAATAATGAGGCCTAAAGAATGAAAGATTTAAGACTATTTTCTGGAAACTGTTCTTCCGTTGCTTGGACAACACAAAATGTTCCTATATAACAGACTCATCTACAAAGAAATCCTTCCGTAATCAAGATTTTGAAGATTCTGTATTCAAAAATTGCACTAGTAAATGCTTTCTTACCTTCTGCTACATCATCATCTACTGCTCCTTTCACCTGAGAAAAACACCACTGAATATCATTCCCTCCTCCAGCTCCTGGAAAAAAGAACACATACCGATTAAAACTGAGTTCTGTTCATGTTTACTCTACTAAACAGTGAGATGGTATCCACGGTTGGCATGATACTAATATAATAGCCTAGTACTGCCCACATACATAACCACCACCCCAGAGCACTAATTGGGAAAAGGTTAGTCCCCAATAGTTGGTACTGCTTTAGGAAAAAAGAGATCTGGGTATGAAAAATTAAAAGGCCATGTACTGTCATTAACATTGTACATGTGTTCAAAAGTTCCCTTCCATTTTCCCTTCCCCTCAAATACTGACTGGTAGGTCTTGCTTAAATGTAAGAAAAAAAGCAAATAGCCAAAGTTAGTTTTTCTTTAAGTGTGCAAAAAGTCTGCAGAAGAATCAGTAAGGCTAAACTACCATAAAACATGGAACGAGTAGAAAACTTCAAGGAACATCACTGCCTGGGTGAGGAGTAATGAACGATCGAGTATGAACCCTATCACCAAAGCGCATATAGAGCAAACACAACACTCACCACCCACTTCTTGCACTGAACTGCCAGCAAAATCAGTGGCTCCAGAGGAAAAAAGCTGGTGAGAAGATTCTCAAAGGAAGCCTGTTTTGCCTCTCTTCACCTTACCCCTCAGATTCCAAGGGACCTTGCAAAGAATTAATTTTGCTAATTTGTCATCATCTTGTGCAAAACAATTTTAATTTTACTAATTATTCAAAGAGCAACTTGTTTATAGCAAACCATAAGTCAATCCAACCTGTTAACTCTTCCAAAGGTTTAATTATCTATCTAAATACTGAAATAAGCCAAGAAAACTGGTTTGGTCCCTGAATGCTTCTATTTCAGGTCTACATACTGAAGAGGAAATGTCCTGGATCTATGGAGAAACTGAACCTCGATCTAGAATCAAGTCTACTAGATGGAGATATTCAGCCACACCAGAATGTACAAAAGGAATCCTCGAAGCAATTACCTTTCTCTTCCTTCACATCTATTCTTTGCTAAATATTCAAACCTGGTTTTCCCCATGCATCATCCCCCCTTCCAAGCTTTTACCTAAATCTCTTCCCTCTTGGCTATTTATATCCCTGAACTCCACAACTATTTTAACTCAATTGAAACCCCTTTGGGAAAAGGACATCTGCACAAAAGCTAACATGCAAAACGGAAAGTTGAAATCACATTTTTCATGCAACTTGCTGTATGAAAGGCCTTGCACTCTTTGGACGTCAAGGGTAAGAAACGAAAAGGAGATGGTTCGACACAAAAAAACTCAGGTTAATAGTCTCAAAATATACGTGCCTACCGGGGGAGGGGGGCACATTGCATTTTAACTTGTAAAGCACTTTTCCTTCTCAGTGCAAAATATATTTGTATAGACACCCAAGAAGGCTTGCATCAAGCAAGGGGGGAAACAGTAATTAAATGAAGAAAGATCCGCCAAAAAGTCCGGGGAGAGGGTGGCACGGAGGTCACACCCGGCTCCCGAGCAGGAGGGACAAATCTGCCCGCGCCCCCACCCCGCCCCACCCACGCCTCACCCCGCAGCTCGCCGGCGCGCACCCCACCCCCATCCATGCCGAGGCTCAGCCCTCAGTGAAAAGCCGATTCGACATCACAGCGACCACTGGCCGCGCAGAGCCCTCCCCCCAACACCGCACCCCACTTGACCAGTTCCCCGAAACCCGAGGCGCCCGCGGCTCTCCGAGAGGCTCAGCGGTCGCTAGGGGGTGACGGAGGGAGGAGAAAGGAAGCGGAGCCTTGTCAGTGGCCGAGGGTGATTTCTCCTTTACCTGCCATGTTGCGCTGCAAATGGTGACCCTGCTGGGTGCCTCGGGGTCTCCGCTTCCTGAACTCACCCCCCTCACCTGGGGATGGGGGGGTAGAGAGGGCGGATGGCGGCGGATGGCACCTGTGGGGGTCGGGGTCGGGGGTCGGGGGAGAAGGAAGGAGGGGCGGGCAGACGAGCCAGCAGGATGGTGGGTTTCACTCAGGGGCTTCCCCGTTCTTGCTCTTCCTCCTGCAGCAGCGGCGGCAGCTACGACAGCGACGGCGGCGGCGGCAGCAGGAGCAGGCGACTCCACTTTCAAAATGGCGCCGGCTGGCCTGGGCAGTGACGTCATCGGGGGCGGGACTCGGCGGGGCGGGGCGGGGCGAGGCGGGGA